TCTGTAGATTACTGTAGGTCAAACTCATGTTTATACGATTATAGCAACATTACATGCATTATGTAAGAATTTCTAAATAAACAGAAATACCATCTTACTGTATCAACTATCAAGCGGCACTAACTTCGACCGTTAATTTGAATTTTTAGCCTACCGGATGTTTGAAAATCAAGGATTACGAGTCTTATACTGCACCGTTTTTCTTCAAACTTCAAAGTCCCTTTCTGTTGGTACATTATTCTCTTTAACAGAGTCCCTACTTCCAGTGGCATTTTGGTCCCCAGCTGTAAGAAGGCCTTCTAACATCTAACAGCTGGGGACCAAAACGCTGCTAGAACGAAGGACTCTTTACAATAAAGTAATGCACCGACAGAAAGGTAATTTTGTTTTGCTTTTAATAGGATAAGTTTGAAGAAAAACGGTTTATTGTATTGTATTGTATCCTTTATTACCACATTATTACTATGTGAGTACATTACAATTTTCAATATTTTGTCCAAACATATTTACATCAACATGTTGCGTTTTTTATACATAAAATAAATTGCCTTGGCCTTTAAAATCATATTAAAATCATCATCCTCTTTAAAAATCTGGAGTACATTATCTTCTCCCATTTTAAAAAGTGCTAGTAGAGCTACCCTTTCAGCATCTAAAGAGCTACAAAATATAGTAAAATGTTCTAATGTCTCAATCTCACCAGAATTACATATAAGGCATTTTTTATTGCCCCATTTATTGTTTCCATTTAGTGTTTGGTTTGTTAAGAGCTTAACCATTAGTTTAAAATACATGCATTTATCAGGATATCTGTTGCACAGTACCCACCAGATTAGTGGTTTAAATGAACATCTTATTCGAATATACAAATGGGTAGAATATTTCAAAGTACAGTTAATCATTAAGTTAAGTTTCTGAGTGTATCTTACCCGTCCTAATACTAACTTGTGCCACTCTGATTTTGAGGGATAAATACCAGTGGTTAACATGTTCTTTGCCGTGTCCAACAAATTGAACCTTATCAGAGTATTCCAAATCGTATGAATAGGAGATACAACTCCGATATTATCATTATGCTCTAATTCGGTAGCTCGAAATATGAGGATTTGTTTGTAAATATTTTTGATTGGCAATTTCATTAGCATTAAGAAAAACATCAGTTTATCTATTACAATTCTGAATTCTAAATTCAACCAACCCAGAGGCTCGGTGGCAAATATGTTGTCTGAAAATTTTGGTAGGCATTGAATACGCTTACCAATTGTTCTATGTACTAATTCAAGTTTTTCTATGTCCCTGCCTGAGTATGTTATTAAAGGGCTTCCATAGAGCATTGTAGGAATAGACAATGCCCAATACAGTCGTGATGCTGTTAAAGGACAAAGTCCCCCACAGTTGCCACCCAACCCGAGGAGTGAAAAGTATTTCCGTTTACCTGAGCTTATAGCATTGTCAATAAAATCAGTAATGTCACCATTAACTGATAATGGTATACCTACATGTATTTGTTTCTGAACAACATTAACATTTCTATTACCAATTTTAAACACTGGTTCCACTGCATGATGTCTATCACCATAAATCATTATATTGCATTTGCCAGGATGAATCTCATATCTCCATTTCATACTGTGATTATAAGCTAAATTAAGTAATGTATTCATAGATGTCGTACTAGTAGTAAGAAAAGAGGTATCGTCGGCATAAGCAGGACAGGTGACATCAATTTCCCCCACCGATGCACCTATGCCCAGGGCTTGTAAATCAGTTAGTAAGTCAGCATTGAACAATTGGTACATCAACATGGAATAGACCCCACCTTGATGGACCCCCTGGAGTACATCGAATTGTTTAGTATGAGACTCGTAATCCTTGATAATTGCAGTTCACTAATAGTTCCCTTTGCTTAGGGCATTTTATTAAGCAAAAAGTTTTCCAGCCTACTGATTGTGACATAATATTTATTCTGCACAATAAAGTTGAGCTGGATTTCTTTGATCAGTTTTGACTTTGGCCTCGAGAATTGGAACTTTTGAGATACTTTTAGCTCGAATGTAGTCATTCAGAGTGGACAAATACGTCAACAATTGACACTTAACTGACCAAACTCTGACTGTACCCCTGATATGTACCTTCATTCTTTACTGAAAACCATAAGATGGAAAATTCAATCTTTTTTATGAACATCAACTCATTGGCTTCCCAATTTACGACAATATATGGCATCTAGTGGTTATTAAGGACGAAATTGTAGCCAAATATCGTCAAAATCAATGGTTTTTGAGGTAAAAAACGAAAACAGCTGATTCAGCAAAAAAAATAAATTTGTTCATGAAAATTCCCCTTTTTGCCTCCGCCCAGAATATGTTTCACACTAATAAACTTCAATTCTGGGCGATTCTGAGTAGTTTTAAAAAAAATTGGTCACTTTCAAATGTAACTTATAGACAAAACAGCCCTAATTCACGTCACCATACTAGTCAATGGGCAAAAGGGCAAACGCCTGACTTTTTTACATCGAGTTTATGTGGATTTATGTGGTTCTAAAGCTATGTCTAAGCTACACTTTGACACTAAACGCAATAGGGGCCAAACGTCTACTTTTTGAAATAATTGGTCAATTGTGACACTATCCCCTCTTTCTGCCAACAGAAATTTAAGTTCACAAAAATGAAGGCAAAATTAATATGCCACTTGACTCGAAATTTTCCTTCAGATAACCCAAATAAACGCATTTTCAGAAGAAATGGCATGTTGCCATTGCAAAAAGATGACAACTGTACTATATACTAGCTTACTGATTCGTCATGATCACAATTGTGTTGGGACTACATTCATTTTTGAGAACTACTTTTTTCTATTCAGCGATAGTGACGTATTAGGGCAATTTGGCCTATGCCATACATTTTGGGTGAGAATGTCACATACCGCAAGTGAATCTGTCAGATTCACTCGGGGAGTATGACATATATTTGTATCATGTTTACCGCGTAACACATACATCGCCGAGTACCATACTTTGAAAGATGTCTATGACTTTATGACCCGGCGTTCCGCCAGTGTAACTCGTTATACATAATAGTGTGTTTTATCCTTCAGTTTTTTTGATTTTACGGGCGTTAGCAAGCAGTGTTTATACACAGACGGAAAACGATTCTTATCAAAAAATAAAAGTAACGCGAGGATAATAAACAGAAAGGATGGATTTACTATTAAATAAAAGTAAATTTCTTATTTCAGCTCTCATTTTTCTAGCTTGTCTTGTATTTATTAATATGAAATTGCCCAAGGTATATATGGCAGTTGGATATCCGAAGCCGATAGTACCTCGGAAATTACAGCAAACCAAAAACAGTAAGTAATATTGTTTTCTTTCTCCAATTTGGTTCAATCGGTTTCGTTCTCGATTCCTCTTGTATTTTAGGGTAATTTCTGTGTCATATGATACAAAACAAATGTATAATTTGTATTTAGGAAATAACTTGTCATTCCAATTAATGAATTATGTAAATTGACGATGTAGTGATACAGAATGTCACATCATTCTGAGAGATGTCATTTTTATCAACGAGTTGATTTCAAATACCAACGCGAGTGTACTAAACAAATGAGTGTTGATCTTTAATATTTACGAGGCAATAAAATGATATCACTTATGAAATGATCTGATATTGAGTTTATTACACGATTTTCTTCATCATGTTCTGATCCAATTTTCCAGACAATTCTGTCACTGCACAGTAATTTGCAATTCTTTCTCAACATGATACAGTTCTTCATAAATATCATTTTAATCGTTATTTAGCAGCATCCTAATCAAACTACATACACAATCGTAATACATCAATCTAACTTCAACATAATGAATTATCTGACCTATTTTCCAACACTATCGTGGTGCGTAATTCAAATTTGTTCAAAATGTTGCCATGGGCGTAGGGCTCTATATCAATGTTTACACCAACTTCGAAGCAAAACGTCATTATTGCTACACCCGCCCCATGCAGACAGATCGCCTAAAATTACATTCTTATGATGCGAGACTCGACACTCAATTAATGGGAAACTAGAAATATTTTGTAACCAATGTAGCAAATTATTTTTACTGCTTAATCGATGGTGAATTGTCAATTAAAGTACAACTGAAACAGGTTTCTCAACTTGCTGCTACAAAAATGCAGTTTTCTTCATTGTAAGCCCAACGTAGAGTTCTTGCGATAGCCAATTTAAAAGAAATGTTAGATAACTGTTAATGGTAATAAATAACGTAATGAAATTATTAGATCAATCAGATTGTCCACCACGTAATTAGTAACGTCATACATGATATATAGTTTGGGTTTATTGGTTCCTTGGCAATCACGACATCACGGCAGCAATATCCCAGATGCGAGTAGAAATAATCTTGATTTACGTCATTAACAATTCACAATTCAGTCAAACTGATGTCATATTTGGAATCTACATGTAAAATTACATTTAGAAATCTGGTTTTGAAAAGAGTTTGTCAACTTTGAAAATTTCATTTTGTTTGAAAATGTGACTTCTAGGTCGGGGAGATTCCCCATAGACCCAATGTTGTAAAACCAAAAAAAGTGAAATATCTTTTCTTGTGTTGGGTAGATAATATTTTCTTTTACTGGACATATTTTAATTTGTATAACTATCAGATACATAAAGGTAATATGAAAAGTGAACCCCTAAAACTGATGCATATTCAAGATTAAAGTGTCTCACATATTCGATCAAAACTTGCCATGCAAACATGTTAGTCTACTTTACTTTAGTATTGAATAATTTTTTATGATCTAAATGTTTGTGGTTTATAAAAAAATGTGATATATTTTAGTTAGAAATACATTAATTAATACATGTATATTCATTCAAACAGCACTAGAATGCGGGAAGAAAGAGCAATGGTGACAAAATGCAGAGTACCTCATACACCCCTGCATGGATTTGAGTCATCACGATTCCAGGTAAACCATTAGACGGATTTACTTCAAATTTTCACACATATTACATGGTAAGAAGTTCCAGAGCTGATTAACTTTGCGGCGGCCATCTTGCATTCTGGCGGCCATCTTGGAATTTTTTTCAGATAAATATTGTCATCGCGATTCCACAAAAACCACATAACAGATGTACTTCAAATGTTAACACATGTAACATGGTAAAAAGTCCTAGACCTCATTATTTTTTCGGTGGCCATCTTGCATTCTGGCAGCCATCTTGGAAGTTTAAAGATAAATCTTGTCATCACGATTTCAGGAAAACCGAACGGATTTACTTCAAATTTTCACACATATTACATGGTAAGAAGTTCTAGAGCTAATTAACCTTTCGGTGGCCATCTTGCATTCTGGCGGCCATCTTGGAAGTTTTTTGGATAAATCTTATCATTGTGATTCCAGGAAAACTACTATACTGATTTTCTTGAAACTTTTACACATGTTACAAGGAAGGTTACATGCTACCTTTTATATTGATATAAACAGGGGCAAAAGGCAGTAAAGTGGGGTTACACAAGTTGGTATTCTAAGGAGAATGTTATCTATTTTTCTGTATTTTAAACCACATAATTTGACATAAATGCATATTTGGTGTATGATATCATGTTTTATATTGATAGAAACATGGGCAAGAGGCGCTACAATGGGGTAACACATGGTGATATTCTAAAATACATATTTTACTCTGCTTCTGTACTTTATACCACTTAAATGCATTTTGTGTATGACATCGATTGATTTTTAGAATAAATAACTACATTTCATCAAAAAGAAAAAAGATTATTGAAAACGTCAAACATTTCTTTGAAATCCATTATTGCACAGCGATCTTTGAGAGCGAAATGTATGCTAAATAAATTGGCATTGATCTGAGTATATAATGGAATTAAAGCTCTTTTAAATGAAAATGTAAATGTGTGGAAAACCTTTCACTGTGCATCATGTCAACAAAATGTCCTTCATGCAGTTGAATTATCTTCTGGACAGGTGATCACACAGAAGGAGAGACCTGCGTATCATATCCTTACTAAATATAAACAAAAATGACAAATGAGAAAGGAAAAAGTGTAAAGCAACCCTAGTGGGAAAAGCAAACTGTAAAGTGTAAAACTGGCAAACAAAAATCAAACCTGAATATCCCAAGACAATAATCTAATATGGGAATAAACAGCATCCACACCGTTCAATGACCAATTCCTCATCAACGACCACAACTCCGAGGGACATTCCATTCATACTGAAGTCATTAATATACATGTTGAAGAAAAATTGAAAATAATGAGATCCAATACTCATAAGATCAAAAATAGTTGTAGATACTATAGTACTCATAAAAGCTGAAGATAACGTTTCTTCATCGGGAAAGCAAGCTGTCTCTTAGTCAGATATTAACTAACGAGCTGGTTCAGAGCACCAGCATGTCAAACTATGTGAATGGGCTCTGTATCCACAATGTTGCGAGTTCGAGACACATGTGCTCTTTGCGTTTAATAATCAACTAAAATCACTTAAAACCTGCACTAAAACTGTGTGTCAGATCGATATAAGTATAGGGTTTGGAAACTAATTGTACCAACAAAAAGAACTTAAAAAACACTGCTACAATATCAACATAAGCTATCAATAGTAGTGACGATGCAGAAACATGCAAAATGTCACCATGTACATGTATATAAAATCAAATAAATTAATTATATTTTTTCCGTTGTGTTAGTTACACCAGTAATAATAAACCTGTTTATAAAGTGGTCTTAACAAGACTATAGAATTTAACAGTCATAAAACCTAAAAAATATACCAGGAAGGGACCATTGTGAATGTACAGGGTGTCCGGAAACTGTCATGACAAATTGTTTCAAAATAAAAAGTTATGGTTGTTATGGTAACAGGAGTCGCGGGTATGTGGAGCAACGTCACAATTATGTTTTATAATTCCTTTCTCCTGTTCATATCATCTTGACGCTCCGTGGTCTGCTACAATTATGCATCAAATTATGTACCACAACAGCAAAGGCATTAGTACTGTAACATTATTTAATCGTTTGACATTACTACTGTTATCCAGTATTATGTATTTTCCACCTTTATCTAAACATTCTTGATGCATTTTGACCTGAGATTCAAAGACCTGACAAAACCTTTGCTGTCAGTCTCTAAGATTGCTGATAACATTGGCTTCCAGCCGAGTCTCATTTTTATGTTGAACTTCTCACAAATATTGCTTTAACATATTCATTAATGTAGAATTCCAACGGGACATTATCAGGGAAATATGGGCCATTGTACAAAAAAGGTAAATGTCGAGACATTCAATTGTAAGATTTGTTTTCTTTACTTTGTGCATTGGAGCATTGCCTGTGGAGGTGCACTATTGACTTTCCTATTAATCCAGGGATCCTTTTTCTGAGCACTTATATACCCCTTTTCTTTGATTATACTTGTGACATTACATAGTTCTGATATGTATCAATGATATCGTTATACTAAAGAGAATACTGTGGCAGCAAGAATACAATATTGAACAAAGCAAAAAAACTGACAAGAAATACAATAATAAACACTATTTCAAATGGTTAGATTTTAGCAATTTATCACAATTTAGCGACATCCTGGAACTGCTCCACATACCCCTCACCACCGTAACCATGACAACCATAACTTTAACACATTTAGACTATATGTTATAGAAGTTGGTAGATGTATTGTAATGTAGTTGCTCTTCAATCTGTAGCGATTTCATTACAAAAGGACTAAATCTCTTAAAATTAGAATATTTGTATCTTTACTTTCCGGACACCCTGTAAATGTTTTAAGTGTGAAAAGTTGAAGCAAATCTGTAAAGTGTTTTTTCTGGAATCGTGATGACAAGATTTATCTACAAACTTCCGAGATGGCCGCCAGAATGCAAGATGGCTATCGGAAAGTTAATCAGCTCTATAACTTCTTACCATGTAACATGTGAAAAAATTTGAAGTAAAATTGTTACGTGGTTTTCATGGAATCGTGATGACAAGATTTATCTAAAAACTTCCAAGATGGCCGACGGAATGCAACATGGCCACCGAAAAGTTAGTCAGCTCTAGAACTTCATACCATGTAACATGTGTGAAAATTCGAAGTAAAACTGTGAAGTGGTTTTTCTGGAATCGTGATTACAAGATTTATCTATAAACCTTCCAAAATGGCTGCCAGAATGCAAGATGGCCACTGAAAAGTTAATCAGCTCTAGAACTTCATACCATGTAACATGTGTTAAAATTTGAAATTAATCTGTTAGGCTGTTTTCCTGGGATCACGATCGACAAGATTTATCCCAAAATTTCCAAGATGGCCGCCAGAATGCAAGATGGTTGCCGAAAAGTTATTCACCTCTATATTTTCTTACCATGTAACATGTGTAGAAATTTGAAGTAAATCTGTTTGGATTTCCTGAAATCGTGATGACAAGATTTATCTTAAAACTTCCAAGATGGCTGCCAGAATGCAAGATGGCCACCGAAAAAATAATGAGGTCTAGGACTTCTTACCATGTAACATATGTGAACATTTAAAGTACTGTTATGTGGTTTTTGTGGAATCGCGATGACAATATTTATCTGAAAAAAATTCCAAGATGGCCGCCAGAATGCAAGATGGCCGCCGCAAAGTTAATCAGCTCTGGAACTTCTTACCATGTAATATGTGTGAAAATTTGAAGTAAATCCGTCTGATGGTTTACCTGGAATTGTGGTGACAAGAAAGTGAGACTTCAGAATGCCACCTCGTCTAACCCCGTTTTGGTGCCTTTTGCCCCTGTTAACATCAATAGAAGAGGTGTTTTCTTTAAGAGGGAAGTATGTTCTTTCAAACGGTACAATCATTTTATGTGGGAAAGTACCGGACAACAAAACTTTTTTTCAGAGGGTCCAGATCAGGGACTAAATAATTTGTTTATACGTGTAATGTGTCGTTACAAAACGATATCATTTGCTTTACGTTTAATCAATAACACTAGGGTTGGGTTTAAATCAACTTTAAATCAACTCTTTTCACGCACTGTAGGCAGAATTCCTCGACATTTCTACATTTTTTATCACAAACGTGTGTCAGCATCATATGCTTAAGAAAATGTACAGATTTGCAAACATATATTTCGGGAGACAACAGAATCGTCGACTGAACTTTTTTACGTAAACGGAACGGGCTAGACGTGCAGATATTATTTCTCAAGTTCTGCTTACGTAACAAAAGCGAGGTAAAATATAATTTCATTTAAGCCACGTTGGATGTGGATACATGATGACGTCTACGTTTGATGATGTCTACGATCCTTTCAAGATAGTTTACTCACACGTGTCTTTTTATTTCTCTTTCTTTGAGCTTTTGTCAAGAGGGAACAATCCCTGATCACCCTAAACGACCAATCTTAAGAGCAAATAATAGTTGATATAAGTATCTCAATGAGCCTAATATTCTAAGAATGTTATCATGAGTGCGCCCATCGGGTTATTTTGATAGCGATATACCTTTTAAGAGTTAAGATCTACAATCAACTAGCACACAGCATAATGAATACGCACTGTCGTACATTGCAGCCAATCATACAGCGTATTGCAATAATTTACTAATTATACAGGGTATATAAAAAAATACTTCTGATTTTAAAGTGTAATAACGCATTCATTATTGCCATGATTGGTCTTTTTGAGGTGATTAGAAATTGACGTAAGTCTTGTTTCATGTTGAAGCTTTTTATCTTTGTCTCTGTGTTTATAGATGACTGCCAATAAGATCATCATATCAGGCACGATATCTGTGGCAGTGCCTATTATTATTTTTAATACACACATAAATTAATTAATGAATTGAATTAATCGAAATAATATATTAATCACAATAAACATTACGTGCATTTCTGTTTAGTGTAAGAAGAGGGAAAGCCCCAGAGTTTTAAAGATGACAGACATAATTACGTCTCTTGCTTACCACCTTCGTTCGTTCGAATTTTCATAGGCTAGTTATCAAATACTACACTTCGATGGGATGCTTAATTGATATTGGCATATTCCGTACACCTTTCTTTATCTTGATGTGAAATGAGAAGCTATGATATTGGCTGACACGCCAAAAATGAACATAATATTATTCGAAGCATATTTCGAAAATTTTGAAACCGCCATTGATGACATCATTTGTTTGTCGACTTTTGGTCAATCAGAGATGTATGTAGTGTCATGAATCTCGATACATTTACCCGAATCATTCACATGTACTGACAATGTACACGCGTATGCAATTAACGTCTGCCGGCTACCGGATTAACCTACTATTTTACAGGTAACTCATTTAGAAATATGAAGATTACCTGCCACTATTCCATTCATATTTAAATGAGTTGGGCATAAAATACTAGGTTAATCCGGTAGCCGACAGGCGGTAGCTTGTATTAGCGAACTAACGTCTGTCGGCTACCAGATTAACCTACAATTGTATGACCAACTCGTATAAATATGAATGGAATAGTGTAAGGCACTATATATTCATATTTAAATGAGTTGCCTATAAAATAGCAGGCTAATCCGGTAGCCGACAGGGCCTAGTTGCATTCGTGAATACAAGATAAGTTACACTCGCGAATGATAACTAAGGGACCGGTTAAAGAAGGTTTACTATGTAAAATCTACTCGGTCAGAATCGCTCGATGTCTATGATTCAGACCCCCTCTACTAAATCTAAAAGCGATCTAAAATTTGTACACTGTAATGAAAATATATTTACACGTTACTATATTATTGTTATGATTTCGTAGAGTCTATAAAATACATTTGTAAATTCTGTACATTTTTTTTTCTTCAGAACCTGACGAGCCTTCTCTTGAGTGTGGTGAAATCTGTAGTTATGAGGTGAAAGTTGAAGAGAAGAGGAAGTACTATCCGTATATCCGGAAAACCGTCAACTGTGGCTCAATAATGAAACGCATGGCACTCAATCCAGCAACTCCAAAGGTACCACCAAAAAAAATCCCTGCAGAATTATTTGATGAGTTTACCCAAAATGGGGAACTTCCTAATAAAAATTATTGGTATATTAATGACAAGAAAAAGATTTCAAATATCAACAGGCAGAAACATTTTACAAAGGACGCAATTGAACAACTAATAAAAAACGACAAGGCAGGGAAAATAATTGGGACATATGAAGTAGAGGAACCTAAAAAGTCAATAACCGCATATAAAAATGAAATAAGTAACAAGCGTGGAGTTGTGATTGGATCCCAATCACCCTGGCTTGAAGCATTGGCCTTATCTGCTGGTGCAAAACACATGACGACACTTGAATATAACAATAATTCGTTCCTTCATCCTAACATAACCAAAATCCACCCGTATGATATGGCAAAATTATACGCAAATGGTAGTGTTCAAGAGTTCGATTTTGCATTATCGTATTCATCAATTGAACATTCTGGATTAGGTCGCTATGGAGATCCTCTTAATCCATATGGAGATCTTGAAGCAGCTGCGCAAGTTTGGTGCATGCTTAAACCAGGGGGATTATTTATTCTCGGACTTCCAGAAACACATAATGAGACATCGTATTCCCTCCCTTTAAAACAAGGTTGCGTCGGCAATTTAGTCCCGCCTCGCCTAGTTAAAGGTAGCTACACTAGCTACATTATATAACAGGATGAAAACTCCCAGGGTTCAAAGATGACCGTAACTCCAATGGAAATATATAAGGGGGACCATCATTGCTGAATAGTCGCATGACGAAAACAAAATGGCGATTCTATTTTTTTAAAAGATGTAATAATATATTAATTTCTAAGGTGTGGTACCGTATTGAATAACTTAATAGTAGAAATTCGGACAATAACGAAAGTGGTAAGGATGAGAGATAATTTTGAGGTCATCTTTGAGCTCTGGGATTTTCCCGCCACTTAGTTATCAAATACTTCAATTGGTACAAAGAATAATCGAAAAACCAACACAACTTTATGGATTGAAAACAATAAATGAACTTTATTTTTGCAATGTACATGTTTATAAATAAGGATAAATTATCAAATGTGTTTAATTTACAACTGACATAATTATTTATAAAGATTACAAACGTCTTTAATATTCTGTCGTCAAGGACTTAGTCTTGTTTTGCAGAGACATCTTTTGACTAGTTTGAGTATTGATTAAAACATGATTTAGCTATTTTAGATAAGCATTTTGTTAGCACTCCAGGACGCTTAGCTTTTGTTCTATACTCCACGTGTTATAAAAAGGCTCATGCAGATAATATTATATACACTACTTTACAGCCAATCGGAGAGAAACAGAATTACCGAAGTCCTTTGGATGGAAATAGGTAATTCAGTCTTCCTCCCTGACTGCTCAACATAATTGACCTGCTATTGTAATATACATTATGTCCTGGCAGCCGTAACTCCTTCACTGTCGTATTACACAAACAATCTACATTTGGCTTTTTCCTAGTATTTTGCTAACTTTCCCACGTGCGTTATTTCTCGATAGAAAGAGTTTACGCCTGTACATTTTAATATATCTATCATGAAGTTAATATGCTAAAATTTAAATAAACTCAAATAACATAAATAAAATACAGTACGGATCCTGTAAACTAAACGATATATTGAACTGGACGAATGGACCTAAACATGTAGATTGATTAATGAACACTACAGAGACAAAATACCAGGGACACCAGGATATCACTTAGACATTAAACACACTTTCAATAAAGAGGAGAGCGCCGATGCTGCGCGGCCGAAGAATCACGGAAAGAACCGAAGATTTTTTAAGTAACCAATCAGATTCCATAGTAGATCTTCGGCCATCTTCGGTTGCTGTCCAAAACTATATAATTTCCAATGTTTATGTCACGAAGATGGCCGATGATTGCCGAAGTTACTCTAAAGAGCATATCAAGTTATTGAAGGGTAATGGTAAGATCTTCGGCCATCTTCGATAGCGGTCCATCAACCGTTACCCTTTCAAAATACTAATATTGCGCTATTGTCCTTGTGCATGGTATCTTAATTGTCTATATTTGTGAGTTGATATTTTCTGCAAATCATATTGTATGTTGTTTGTGTCAAAAGCATCTAACTTTGTTATTATGTTAAATGTAACTGGCAGTGATGTAATTGTGAAATGGTTTAGTTTGCACTTTAGTTTCATTGGGAGGTAATCCAGATACTGACACCCTCTTTATACACTTCCTTAAATCGCATCCGTGTTTTAGTCCCCTTTACATAGGCACAACTTCCAACGAAATCTAATACGCTCTTACAGACTGAAAATAAAATTTTGAACATTATGTTCTACCATGTTTTCATATAGTTAATATTACTTTACTATTTCTGCCTTTAAGCTTAATTTAACTTTCCCACGTAAATATGATTTAACACTTATCCTGATTAGTCAACCAATAGTCACGCGACAATCAATTTTTATAATCCCACTTGGATGTTTTACTTAAGTTTGTTAAGTTTCGTTACATGTTTTCCTATTTTCCAAAATGTAACTGTTCTTATGTTCAAATGCTTTATAAACAATCTTGTTAACATTATAATATAGTGATAATCGTCACTTTAATAGAACAACAGATAAATCATCTTAGCGATGATACAAACCATTGGGGCACACTTCTGTCTAGTGGAACCACCCTGGGTCCTTGCGGGTCTTTGCGATGACATCTTTTATATGTGCCCTCGTCTTCGAGATTGGCTGGCCCCCTCCATAACTCGGGGGAACAGAGGCAGACTATACAGAACAAAGGTCATAGGGTCAAGGTTAGTGTTAGTGGATGTCTAAAGCATTTCAACAAAGGAGTGGTATCGATACGGAGAACTGAATTCAATAATGTTTTTCTCTTAAATCAATCTTTGAAAACGTTCTGTAAAAACATGGTATTTTATGTAATGTTGACTGATTGACAATAATTTAATGCAAAAATTATTTAGAAATATCTAATATAACTATTTTTGTTAACTTTTTGTTTTTTAGTGCGATTGTTTTTGCTCCTTTCTACCAATTCTTGAGAATGAAATAAAATGTCTTTCCGAACCTTGTTGGAACAAAATAGCATATACAACATGTTTTTAGACCTCTCAATATTATAGCTATATAAAGGAATTTTTGGTTGATTTTAAAAAAGTATTCAAAAAATCCCCCCGAAATAGATAAAAATCAAGATAAACCTCTTATTTCATTAACAAGATACTTCTTAAAAATCAACCAAAATATCCTTTGTGTCTCTTCCCTTGATCTGCTCAATTGCTGATTATAACGGAACATAATACATTTGTGTTGGTGAAATTTATTTATTTAATATAAAATAATAATATCATAAGCAAGTTGGGTAGTCATATCTGAAGGGATGTGGAGGGGAATGGGTGGCAACAATATTCAATGTCCTATTATATGAATATATAGTAATAATGTGTACAGTACAGATCTAATAATAATAGATTAATAATGTGTACAGTATTGAGAGACCTGTTGTGTTTGTGTCGTTTTGTTCCAATGAGGTTCGGAAAGATGTTTCAGTTCACTCTGGAAACATGATACTAAGACTAAAACAAGTGTTTGATGTGTTTTCTAAAACAATACAGATGAAAGTATATACATAGTTTTTAAATTATATTGTTACCATTCAAAAAATGACCATTAAATTAAGAAGATTGCTCTAAAAATATAGCACTCGACAACGTCATAAAAATCAGAAATTAAAAGATGTAAAAGAAAGGAAATTTGATCAAATATATGAAAGTATTAAAGATGCAAAAGAATAAATATTCTTAAAGCACTCGACAAGGTCAAGGTCATAATATTCCAATAAAAAACTAGAAAAGAATCTTGCTACATATTGTCACACAGGACTAAATACACTCCTGAAACACAGGAATTTAAGATTTGTTTATCATCGAATGCCATTTTATAGGTAACATAGAAAAATCGTATACGATTATAGCAACATTACATGCATTATGTAAGAATTTCTAAATAAACAGAAATACCATCTTACTGTATCAAGCGGCATTAACTTCGACCGTTAATTTGAATTTAAGCCTACCGGATGTTTGAAAATCAAGGATTACGAGTCTCATACTGCACCGTTTTTCTTCAAACTTCAAAATCCCTTTCTGTTGGTACATTATTCTCTTCAACAGAGTCCCTACTTCCAGCGGCATTTTGGTCCCCAGCTGTAAGAAGGCCTACTAACAGCTGGGGACCAAAACGCTGCTAGAACGAAGGACTCTTTACAATAAAGTAATGCACCGACAGAAAGGTAATTTTGTTTTGCTTTTAATAGGATAAGTTTGAAGAAAAACGGTTTAGTATGAGACTAGTAATCCTTGATTTTCGAGCATGGGTAAATCAAAATGGAAAGTGCACTAGACCCTTTCTTTTTTCCAACTCTCATTCTTCTAGCGTGCAGTGTCTTGTATTTATTCATATGAAATTGCCCAAGGTATATATGGCAATTGGATATCCAAAACCGATAGTACCTCGGAAATTACAGCAAACTAAAAACATTAAGTAATATTGTTTTCTTTCTCCAATCTGGGTCGATCGGTTATGGATAAAAATGAATATGTGTCACGTTCCTAATCTCTATTGGTCAATCTTTTTTCATTTTAGTAGCCTTTCTACTGATATCTTATTTTATTCAATTTTGAGATCGAATGAGCATAACGGGTAAACTTTGCACATTTTAGACCAATCAAAATATATAACTATTTTTCAAATGTTTGCCGTCTTGGTAGATACAAAATAACACGTACAAAACGCATTGGATTATGAGCATAGTCAGATAGAAGTGGTGATATCATGAACAATGAAAATTATGGTGATTCGAGTGAAAGCATGAATTCAATCTTTTAAAGAACTTCGCGGGACACAGACGTTGACGTATAGTGCTGCGGGAATTATATCATATTAACAGGAATATTTGTGATATACTTCATGTTATAATATGATCATTCGAAAGCTTACTCACTACCTCATCGGGTTTTACTCACGGTATAATCGGAATACTCAGGCGGTAGCATCGGGTTCTATTGAATCGTACTCGTGGTATAATCGGGTCTTTCATTTTCAACTTTCACCGGTGATTTCAATGATATGCAACGTAGGCTATGACAGTGAAACAAATGTAATGTATTAGCACCTATTGTATCTTTGAATCAAATGGAGTAAATACAGCCATGGTTCTTACTTAATATTTAAGACAGGGCTGTCAACTTGGGACCATCTAACATGAGTGACTTCCAAATGTTGAACACCTTCCTTCAAACTTTGGACAGCTTCAGTGAACACTGGCAGAATTTGGACACCAACAATTTTTCCACGCTCGCTATTCAAATCCGTCAACGGGGGGAGGGGGGGGTAGGTGTAAATATTTTCGAAACAAATGCGTGATATATACACATATTTTGTACCAAATGCGTGACATAAACGGCAATCGCGTGCAAAGACCGAACGGAATGCGTTCGCTTTTTTTCACCGTTCGGTTTTTTACCGTGTCGGAATTTCAACAAAATGCGTGATTTGCGTGATATTTGATCATACACGCTAAATTGATGCGTGATTTCTATTTTTCCAGCAAATGCGTGACAATCAAGCCAAATGCGTGAGGGTTGACAGGGCAGTCAACAGTTGACAGGCAGTTGACAGGCAGTTGACAGGGCTGTCAACTTGGGACCATCTAACATGAGTGACTTCCAAATGTTGAACACCTTCCTTCAAACTTTGGACAATGCGTGATTTGCGTGATATTTGATCATACACGCTAAATTGATGCGTGATTTCTATTTTTCCAGCAAATGCGTGACAATCACGCCTAATGCGTGAGAGTTGACAGGGCAGCACATAGTTCTCAAATTTCTCCTTTTCATGGTCAAATTCACTTATCTTTCCAATAGGCATATTCATTTGGTTATCCTCGTCGCCACTGTAATGTTTTTAACCCGTTTATATCCTAAATATTCCACAGAATAAAGTTCAGTTTTTTATTTTAGGTGTGGTTTCTTTATTT